AGGCGTGTGCCACCACGCCTTTAAGATTTTCATCCTTAAGTCCTAAAACTTACCATCCACAAAATCGGTTGAGCAAGATGATTTGTACCTTCCTGGTGGAGATCATTGCCTGAGTGCCCTTCTGCACTCTGAGAAGACAGGGTTTCATTTACTTCAGACTGGCCCAGAATTCACCACGTAGCTAATGATGACCTTGAACTACTGATACCCATTTTCACCTTTCAAATACTGGAATTACAGGAGTATGCCACCATGCCCCGCTTTTCATGGTGCAGTCAGGACCTCATGCATGTTAGGCAAATACTCTATTAAGCGAACATCTCCAGCTCCTCATATAAAGGTTAATCTCTTTTTTTTTAAAGCGCGTGCATGTATGTGCGTGTGTGTGTGTGTGTGTGTGTGTGTGTGTGTGCATTGTTGGGTATGGGAATGCTAGTGTGTAGAGATTGAAGGGTAACTTTGTGGGGTTGGGTCTCTCAACTTTACGTGAGTTCTGGGAGTTGAATTTCAGATGCCAAGCTTTGTGCAGTAAGTGAAACCAGTAAGTGTTTTGTCAGATTCATGTGCCATGCACACACACGCAAACATGTATGCGCGCACACACACACATGCACGAATGCACACACTCACACACAGATACCAAAGGCACTCTTGTAGATTTTAAGCCATGGCTTGCAAATTAGGCACTCCCAAATTAAGTTCAGAGAGTAAACTATTTTTTTAATTGCTGCAACATTTAAACAGTGTGAGGACCCAGATTTTTGGCTTCTCTTGAAAGACTGGAATATGTGCAGCGCTGGACTCAGCAGCAATTAGCAAGAAGTGGGTAGCAGCTGCGCTGCTTAGATGGCCACCTGCTCCCCAGCTTGGTCACCTCTACCACTCTCATTTGGGTGAGCATATAACTTGTCCAAATAGGGCACTTTTGAGGGTGAAGGAGGTGCCATTTGTAATTACCTGGACCACAGGCATAAACCAGGGCTGTTGTGTCCAACAAGGACATATTACTTCCCTGTCACTTGCTTCATCTTTCTTTGTGCCCTTTTATTTAGGATTTGTCTCTTAAAATCTGGTAGCCTCATGAAGAGAGAGACGTATAAAATGAAGAATTGAAGGTTGAAAAGAAACCAAAGCTATTCCAAACAATATTTCAAATAAGCTGCAGGGCTGGTGAGATGGCTCGGGGGCTGCAGATGTGCGGGGCTGGTGAGATGGCTCAGGGGCTGCAGATGTGCAGAGTTGATGAGATGGCTCAGGGGCTTCAGATGTGCAGGGTTGATGAGATGGCTCAGGGGCTGCAGATGTGCGGGGCTGGTGAGATGACTGGGGGCTACAGATGTGCGGGGCTGGTGAGATGGCTGGGGGCTGCAGATGTTCAGGATGGTGAGATGGCTCAGGGGCTACAGATGTGCAGGTTGGTGAGATGTCTGGGGGCTGCAGATGTGCAGAGTTGATGAGATGGCTCAGGGGCTGCAGATGTGCAGGCTGGTGAGGTGACTCGGGCTGCAGATGTGCAGAGTTGATGAGATGGCTGGGGGCTGCAGATGTGCAGGCTGGTGAGATGGCTGGGGGCTGCAGATGTGCAGAGTTGATGAGATGGCGGGGGGCTGCAGATGTGCGGGGCTGGGGCTGGTGAGATGGCTGGGGGCTGCAGATGTGCGGGGCTGGTGAGATGGCTGGGGGCTGCAGATATGCAGGCTGATGAGATGGCTCAGGGGCTACAGATGTGCAGGCTGGTGAGATGGCTCAGGGGCTGCAGATGTGCGGGGCTGGTGAGATGGCTGGGGGCTGCAGATGTGCGGGGCTGGTGAGATGGCTCAGGGGCTGCAGGTGTGCAGGCTGGTGAGGTAGCTCAGGGGCTGCAGATGTGCAGGGGCGGGTGAGATGGCTCAGGGGCTGCAGATGTGCAGGGGCTGGTGAGATGGCTCAGGGGCTGCAGATGTTCAGGCTGGTGAGATGGCTGGGGGCTGCAGATGTGCAGGGGCTGGTGAGATGGCTCAGGGGCTGCAGATGTGCAGGTTGGTGAGATGGCTCAGGGGCTGCAGTTGTGCGGTGTTGATGAGATGGCTGGGGGCTGCAGATGTGCAGGTTGGTGAGATGGCTCAGGGGCTACAGATGTGCGGGGCTGGTGAGATGGCTCAGGGGCTGCAGATGTGCGGGGCTGGTGAGATGGCTGGGGGCTACAGATGTGCAGGCTGGTGAGATGGCTCAGGGGCTGCAGATGTGCAGGGGCTGGTGAGATGGCTCAGGGGCTGCAGATGTGCAGGTTGGTGAGATGGCTCAGGGGCTGCAGAGGCTTGCTACCAAATCTGATGATTCGAGTTTGAGCCCTGGAACCCATGCGGTGGAAGGAGCGAGCCAACTCCACTAGCTGTTCCCTGTGACCTGCACACTCCCACTGTGTGGTCTGTGGATGTGCAGCACACACCCACAGTAAAATAGCTAAATGAAATGAACACCAATTCCACCAAACCTATGAAGAATAGCGTACTCACTCAGAGCTGCTCCGTTTTAAATGTGACCTTCTAGGCTCCCTATGTATAGGTCAGGGATGCACACAGCACTGCCAGTTTTAATAAGCTGAAAGCCCATAGTGACAAGCACGACTAATCAAACTGCAGAGAACAGCCTGTTTCTAATCAGGGAAGCACAGGATGGACACTCAAATGCATTTCTCAGTTAGCTTCATGTTGCCTCCATGGGGGGAAATCCCCGATAAGACAGTTGCTTCACATTCTAGCCTACAGCCTTTGATGGTCTTTGAACTTCTTATTAAATGTCTTTAATTATATTTAGTATCGGCTTTAAAATGTTTTCTCTTTACTTAGCTAGAAAACAAAATATCCCTGTCCCCTCCCCAAATGCATAAGAAACCTCAGCTCCTATTGATCACTTGAAATAGTCAGGGTTATTGTTGCTGTGATGAAACACCGTGACCAAAAAGCAAGTTGGGGAGGAAAAGGTTTATTAGGCTAACACTTCCACAGCACTGCTCACCACTGAAGAAAGTCAGGACAGGAAAACTCAAATGGGAGAATCCTAGAGGCAGGAGCTGACGCAGAGGCCATGGTGGGGTGCCATTTGCTGGCTTGCTTAGCCTGCTTGCTTATAGAACCCAGGACCACCAGGCCAGGGGTGGCCCCATCCACAATGGGCTGACAATAGGCCGAGCTCTCCCCAATCAGTAATTAATTAAGACAATGACTTACAGCCAGATCTTATGGATGCATTTTCTCAATTAAGGTTCCCTTCTTTCAGATAACTCATTTGTTGGTTGACAAAAGTCCAGCCAGCAAACCTCTGCATTAATCTGAGTAATTCACAGCTTCAGACCCTTTCAGCCATCTTCAGGATGTGACTAGTTTCGAGCTGTGCAGGGCTGTGGGACCGGCAGCTGTTGACTGACAAGTCATGTTGAACACCCGTAGGCATCGCATGGTAATGTGGACACATCTGCCAGACCATCTGTAGGCATCGCATGGTACTGTGGACACATCTGCCAGGCCACCTGTAGGCATCACATGGTACTGTGGACACATCTGTCAGGCCACCTGTAGGCATCACATGGTACTGTGGACACATCTGTCAGGCCACCTGTAGGCATCGCAATGGACTGTGGACACATCTGCCAGGCCACCTGTAGGCATCGCATGGTACTGTGGACACATCTGCCAGGCCACCTGTAGGCATCACATGGTACTGTGGACACATCTGTCAGGCCACCTGTAGGCATTGCAATGGACTGTGGACACATCTGTCAGGCCACCTGTAGGTATCACAGGGTACTGTGGACACATCTGTCAGGCCACCTGTAGGCATCGCATGGTACTGTGGACACATCTGTCAGGCCACCTGTAGGCATCACATGGTACTGTGGACACATCTGTCAGGCCACCTGTAGGCATCGCAATGGACTGTGGACACATCTGCCAGGCCACCTGTAGGCACTGCATGGTACTGTGGACACATCTGTCAGGCCACCTGTAGGCATCACATGGTACTGTGGACACATCTGTCAGGCCACCTGTAGGCATCGCAATGGACTGTGGACACATCTGCCAGGCCACCTGTAGGCACTGCATGGTACTGTGGACACATCTGCCAGGCCACCTGTAGGCATCGCATGGTACTGTGGACACATCTGCCAGGCCAACTCTCCCACTGCGATAGTTCCATCGCTTCTTTTGTTGACTCTCTCAGTATCCTCAACTCCGAAACCAGTCAAAATAAAATGGAGGAAGAGATGGAGAGAAAGATATTGAGACAGGCTCTTGCTATGTGGGTCAGGCTGGTCTTGAACTCGTCTTCCTTCCCTGTCTCCGAAGTGTTGGACTCACAGGCAGGTGCCAGAACTCAGAACTAAGAATTTGCTACAAAGATGAATAGTTGTGCTTTACTCTGGGAAGCGAGACTTTAACCCGGCAGTTGAGAAGCAACAATTTCTGGAAGACTTTCAGGCAAGCCCAAACCACCCTTCTACTGAACCTTGGTTTACAACATGGGGAGAACAGCCCCTCCCAGGCATACTTCTAGGGTCACTGAGCTACGCAATGCTCCAAAGGGGCCACTACGGTGACTCAGGGAGTAAAGGCACTTGCCCAAGTCTGAGTCTGAGTCCTAGAATCTACAAGGTGGAAGGAGAGAGCGCCTGAGAGCTGTCCTCGCCACACGAGTTAGGACATATTTGGAAACACACACAGGCAGGGATCGACAACTGCTCCAGAGACTGTGCTGAACATCTGTTACTGTGTGAAGTAGCATGGCCTGAGGGCCACCAGTCATGTAACGTAGAGAGGCCGGTAAAGTATATTGAGTAACGTTCCTTCAAATCCAACATGGAAATTTCTTTAGATACTAAATGATAAAATCTGGAGCAAGTTTTTTTCCCACGAGAAAACTTTAGGACAGTCCCTGTACCATGGAAATTTAATACTTTAGTAAATTTACTCCCACTAACAAAAAAATCAACACATAGTGGAGGCTTTTTGTTTTTTTTTTTTAATTAAAAATGTTTATTGGCTATTGCCCTTAATACATTTAAAACATAAAAGAATTTTTTCAAATGTGCTAATAAGAAAAAGATCCAGGGACCTGGACAATGTTTAACAGAATTTTCAGTGTTTTGGGCATAAATAAAACTCATAAATTTATATGGATTCTTGGATATTTACTAGTAATCCTTCAATAATGGGTTTGGCATTGACCAAGAATACAAACACAAACAAGTACAAAATACATTCAATAGCGATCACTGAGAACACAAACTGTCTCCATAGTATCCTTTGCATTCATGAGAAGTCATCATACCACTAAATGGAAAAACCAAGTTGAGTTTCTAACACATAAGAATACAATTAACTACATAATTATTACATACAATGTTCAGTAATGCCCATTATAAAATTGAAGCCAATAAAATATAAGAAATGCATTTCTTGTATCTTCAAAAAAAGATTTTAAATTGTTATTTTTATAAAAATTACATGTATATACATGTTTTGAGTATTCTATAGAAAAACTGATAAACATAGAAAAGCACACACACACAACAACAACAAATAAACAAAAACCCTGTCATGATACCAACAAAACTATAGAATCAAGAGAACCCAGGAAGGACAACCAGACTCAGATCCTGCAGCTGCCAACCACCAACTCTGCAAACCACAGACCAAACTTCCTGATGCATTAAAAAAAAAAAAAAAAACAACTCCAGTCACTTCCCACCCAGCACGCCTTGGTGCAGGGGCTCCCAGACTGCCAGCCTAAAGAAAGATTTCATCTGGGAAACAGAGCAAGTACTTGGAAAATGAGCGTCAATGTTGACCAGGAGAAGGACTAAGCAAAGCTGGTTCCATCTGTAGGAGAAATCACTCTGGGAGAGAAGACTAGGAAGTCAATGTGAAACAGTCAACTGAGAAGAAGAGAGGCTCTATGTACTCTGCTGAATTCTGGAGGGGGCATGGTCAAGGCTTGCAGTAAGAATTCAAATTACAGCTTCCCCAGAGATGGATAGGACTAGATTTGGAAAATTCCTTTCATGATATCCTTCCATTTCCTCAGAAATACCCAAACAACATGCAGAATGAAGGCTACTTTCAATGTTTGTGAACCAGTGCTGGTCCTCAAAGTCATGAAGAATTCCAAACAGAGATCATGTTCAAGACAAAGTCTGCCTGGATTATTTGACTCTGATGATTTACAACCAGAATGTCTTGCCATGTTTTTAAACAAGGAAAAGTTGACCCTGGAGGAGACATTCTGCTTTACTAAATCAAAACATGCTGAAGTTAAACTGAACCCTAAAAAGAAGATTCTAGAGATTCTCCCTAAAACCGTGTCTGCATTTGCCCAAAAGTCCCTGAGAGCATGAGGAGAAACAAAAACCCCCTGTTCGAATCAGTCAGGTTTCTCTCCAGGCCCCAGCTGTGCCTCTCCCCCACCCATCTCAGCAGTTCCTAGACCCTCACCATCCTTTCAAAACTCTCTCACATCTAATGCCTTGTCTTCAACTAAACAAATCTCTATCTACTTGTGGAATAAGCTGAGAAAGTTTTAAAGTCATGGTTCATATCATTCTGGTCCACTGAGGTCTCCAGCAGGCCTTCCTCCGCACCGCCATGGGCAGTCCGAGGCAGGTGCTCTTCATTCCCGCCATCAACACTGAAAGCTCAGGTCTTGGATTCTTTGTTCTCCCATTCTCAAGACATCTGTCTGCGGATGAGTTCTTTCAACTGTACCAGAGTGTCACTTTTTAGTGCTTCCCGGATGGAGCAGAAAAATCTGAAGTAGTGTTCAAAGTTGTGCATCATGAGCAGGACGCCGGCCAGGAGCTCGTTGGTCACCAGCAGATGGTGGATGTATGCGCGAGTGTGATTCTTACAGCAGTAACAGGAGCACCCGCTCACGAGCGGGCTGAAGTCTTCCTGGTACCTGAGAAAGACAGAATCCAGAAGTGAAGAGACTAAGAAATTGACAACTAAGGTCTGGGTAGCCAGGGATACACAGAGAAAGCATGTCTCGAAAAAACAAACAAAAAAAGGAAATCTACAACCCAGGCTACTTACTCCACTGGAGAGATGGCTAAGGTAAAAATAGTCTCGCTGGGTACCCGCTCAAGGCGTGCTCTGACAGACACAACCTTACAAGTCTGCAGCCTGAGACAGTCACAATAGTCACTCATCAGTGCAAAGGCACGTGGTGTTCGGGCAGAGGATGCTCCACTCATGGGCACTAGTGTCAGCAGCCACCACATCCACCGGTTTAGCCAGTCTCTGCCTCTTCTCTTGGCAATGACCATTCTGACTACCCTTTTACAGATGCAGACGACTGCTGCGTATTTAGGAGGGCTCTGGTGGAATCCCTTGCCTAAAGGCTTGAGTCTGGCCTCTATAACTCAACTGGGCATGCTGTTTACTATCCAGCTATGCACGTGTTTCTCATTCATTAACCAAAGATACTAACAGTCCACCTCCTGGAACTGTGAGGTTATTAAAGGAGCTAATACAGCAAAAAGGATCGAACCCTGATATTACACTTGTTACCTAAATATTATACTTAGGTAACACTAAATATTAGACTTCTGTTACCTTTCATTGCCTACTAAGGTACATGACTTTTCCAAGATAATATAATCAAATGCATTAGTAGGTATTTGTCCCCAAAACTTTAACCTAGCACCGAAAATAAGCATATATATCACCCTAACATTTATATGAAAGACAATAGTCTTGGCTACTTTAAAGAAAATATTAAAAGATATAGATGTTATCACTTCAGACCCACAATCATGAAATAGGATATAAACAGGATGTACGAATTTTACAATCTTTCCGTTATTAGATAACCATGAAAAGTCAGAGCTCCTAAAACATCTTCTTATATAAATCAAACACACTAGTGCTATGCTCACAGAGCAACCACGTTCTGAGGCTGGTGACTACCACTTTTAGTCAAATGTTAAGTTACAAGACAACTCAATTCCATTCCTTTTGTTTTTAAGACAAGATTTCCTACATAGTTCCAGCTGGCCCAGAATTTGCTCAATAGATCAAGGCTGGTCTCAAACTTAGAGCTCCATCTGCCTCTTCCAACATGCTGGATTAGAGGTGAACCCACCATGACCCTCCTCGGTTCATTCTTCACTGATAGCTGATTTAGAACCTGTATATAGTCAAGGGGACTTGAGCTCTTTCCAATGTACAAGCTACACTGTGTCTGACTCTCAATCCTCATTTTGCTCCGCTGTTACTTAAAGTAATCAGAATAGGAAAAAAAAAAAAATCAAGCAATGGATTCAGCTTCTTTCAGACAGCTTTTCTAAAGCAATAGTTATCTAGCTTAGTGTTCTGACAAGACAAAGTACCCGAAGTCATCTGCAGAGGAAAAATGGTTTTCTGGAACCATATTTGAGAAGGCCTAAGTAATGTCCAACTATAAATATTTTACGAAGTCATAAACTGAAAAGGGAACAGTTACATAAACTTAAGACCGTCCGAAACTAAAAAGTCAGAAATCAAAACCTAAACTTCAAAAAATTTCTTACTTTTTCTCTTTCAGATTAATTTCAAATGATGTCATTTCTTGGTTGCACCCAGCTGCTTCAATTTTCTTTATTTGATCCAAGCATTTTATTTCTTCTTGGATTCCATTTTGCTGCAATACTGAAGAGAAACCAATAAAAAGTCTTGAACGATCAGATAAGAAGTGCACACTGGAAAAATTTTAATCTAGTTATAATTTCACAACCTTTGACCCTATAACTCCATTCTTAGAATTATCTAAGGAAATCACCTAAGAAAAAACAAACAGCAGTACATTCCTGGATGGCCAAGGACTATTATCTACACCATCAAGACAACGAAGATATCTGAAAAGTCCAAGCTAATCATGGATCCAAGTATGTGATATATAATCTTGTCATAAAGGAATGATTTTAAAAAGAAAAGCGGTGGGGGGTATCCCTATGACTTATCACGATGGATTTGTGACAGCACACAGTCCAAGCAGATTAACGTAGAACACGGCTTTAGTTTACGTCTTCTGTTTGGGACCTCTGGCCTTCCAAGGAACCCACAGTACCCTTGAGCTCCTTGCTTAATGGAGGAGCATGTCCTTCAACTTCAACAGAAATCCAGCTCGCTCCAACACAGGAAGTAGAGAAGAGGTAAGCAGGAAAGCAATGAGAGCAATCCGTGAGGGTCCAGATAGCCAGATGGTTCTAGAATAATTTTAGTAAACCGAGACGAGCACTGAGCACAAAAATGCTATGGGATGGGATTGTTCACACCAACTGTGTGCTGAGATGGGAACACAATAAAGCTCTGGCATTTTGGAAAATCCTGGTCACTTAGGGGAAAAGCTGGCAACTTTCTTTAAACTCTTCGCTAGGTAAAATTCCACAGATTTTATAGTATACGCAGACACAAATAGGATTAAAGGGTTGAAAATAAAGTAAGAGGGAGAAAAGGAAGCTGGAGGGGACTGTGCAGGCCACTCATCCCTGAAGACAGGCTTCAGGGCAGCAGCCCATGGCCCATGACTGGGTGGGTCCTCTTCCCTACCATGTGCATCAGGATCTGAAATTGCTTGTCTTGACTTTGAAATAACAATAAAAGAAAACGGCAGCACTTCAAAGAAATATGAGCAGAAGAAAGCAGCTTTCAGATCTCAGAGAAGCAAAGGTGACACGAGCAGCCCATGACAGTGAGATCCCTGGGAGTTAATTGCATGGGGCTTGCAGGAGGGAGACAAGAAATCTTTCGTGGATAAAAAAATAAATTAACTTTTCCTAAGCTGCTCAAAGGTTTCCTTTCCTTAGATTTTCATTACGATTTACCCTGAATTTTTTTCCCCCGAGCTGTGAACAAAGGAGGTCTTGTTTTTGCAGACCACAAAAGTCCTATCTATATTGATGACCTACACGTGTAGTATTAAGTGCCTTGCCCTAGGTGCCAATATCTCAGGGAACACAAGGAAAAAAAAAAATCAAGATGGACCTTTATGAAAGGCTGGTGCTATGTGTACATATTTGTGACTTGGGCCAAAAAGTCATGGGAAATGGGAGAAAGCTAAGAGTGAGGTGAATGTCAAAGACCCACATGTCTCTTCAGGATTCAGCTGGCAATCAAAGGTGAAAGTCAGGGCACAACCCCGCTCAGTCACTTGATATGGAAAAAAACTCTCAAACAGGTCCACTCCTCTTTCAATACAATCGAGCACTTCGTCGGGCCGGCTGACTCCGCAGATGAGCCTGGAAAGACAGTTGGGACAACAACGTAAGTCAATGGCCACGAAGAAATCAGAAAACGCTACCACATCAACGGGGCGTATGAAAAACAGCAGCCAAACTCAAGCTCAGGGTGGCAGGGACATGGCTGTGTTGCTTTAGGCAGTTCCTTTACACCCTGTTCTCTGGCTCTTCATTATAAAGAGCTCCACGAAACCATCATGAGGCCCAAGGAGGCAGTGGAAAAGCAAACAGTATCATTTCTAACTCTTTCCACTCCCATCTTTCTGGTCCACCTCCCTGGCCACAGACTGAACTTTACCCCCCATCTAAACACTGCATAGATACTTTTAAAAGAATATAATTTGTTTTATTTCTCCATTTTTGAGTGTATTTTACAAATTCATTTAACAGCTCCTCTTGTTCTCAGGATTTCAGCACTCACACCAGGATCTAAGACTTTCTTTGTATTTTCTTTGCTAACGAAAAGTCCGCACTGGGAAATGAAATGGTATCTTCTAAGGGAAGGGCTACGGCAGTTTGGGAGCATGAATAATTTTCAAGAGGGTTTGGACAGGAAGGCAAGGCTCGGAGAAGCGTGAGATCAGGACTGGCTAGCTGCAACTACTCCTCTTGTTAAAGTTTGTTTTTCTGCCCACAGACCTTTCCATGAATCAGGGCAGAGAAGCTTTTAGACTTTCTGATTTCTTAGAAGAGTTTTTAACAATGCGTTTATGTAATACTAAGCAAGCAGAACCCTTCTATGTATGCCAGCTTTCCTGAATACAGCCTCCTTCCAGTCCTGTGAGGCTTTAGAACTCCACTCCAACTGAAGCTGGCATTTTACACACTTACAGAAAAACAATCCCAGCTTTCAAATTCAGAAAGAGACATCTGTGAAGACTTAGCACAACAAAGTGCAGAAAATGACTAGAAAAGCTCACGCTGAGCTATTCATCTGTAGCAGGGAAGGGGGGGATGCTAAAAACTGGGGCGCGCATGTGTGTGTGCCTGAATGTGTGTGTGTCTGTATATGCACACGATGGCTGTGAGAACGTGTTCTAGGGAATCTTCACACCCAAGTACACAGGTATCAGTCACTAAGCTGTCTCTATGATGCAGGCACACAATTATATTAGGCTCTCAAAAAGTACTAAGATTACACATGTCCTGTTTAATAGCCTTGAAAATTAAATAGCATCTCAGAGCCAAATTTCCCAATATATCACTGGTTAAAAAGCAAGAATATTCACATTAAGGATATAAGACTAAACAGAAAACTTTTTAAAACTGACATATAAAATTGTATGTATTTTTCACAAACAATGTATTTTGGAATTTGTAGACATGAAATGGGTCAATCTAGCCAAATAACAAATCTCATACAATTACTGTTTTCCTGGTGACAATACTTAATTCATCAGACTACACAACAAACCCATGGCATTTACCCCTCTGATTTAGCTGGAAGTACATATCCTTTGGGCAGCATCTTACCCACCTCCATGCTCCTGCTCGCCCCCACCTCTGAGAGCTCAACTTCAAGGAGAGGGACATTTTCAGACCCGACAAGAGTGAGGTCACACACAGGCGCCCTCTTTCTGAGCCTGCTTTATTTCATCCAATGTCATGACCTTTAGGGTCACCTATGGTTTTTGGTTTTGGCGTCTGTATATTTAATAAAGCAGGAAAATGCAGGCTATAGCTCAGCTGGTCAAGTGCTTGGCTAACATTCACAAAGCTCTGGGCTCCATCCCCAGCGCCGGAGCAATGGCACACGCCTGTAATCCCAGCACTCGGGAGGCAGAGGTCAGAAGATTCATAGCAAGTTTGAGGCCAGCCTGGACTACACAAGATTCCACAGAAGTAAAAATAAATACATTAAGAAAATTTAGGTACTAGTATGGCATCAGCTGCTCTGAAATCCAGACTAGCCTCTCATCTCTGTTACCACTGCAGTATTCAAAAGAACCAACCCTATGAGCTTCATCAATTCAAAAAACAAAACACCACCACTCACTGCTTGCCACAAAAGCAGAAACTTCTCGAAGGTCCTTACTAACAGAGCATATCCTCATGCGACTAAGCATACGGACTTCAACATGCCTTGACTTAAACGAGAATGGCACATGACTTTACACCTGTCTCCAGGTACCATGTCACAACAAATAAAAAGGAGTGTCTGTATTTGCCTCAAGGATGAGAGGACACAGAATGAGAGACACATTTGTTCTCGGTTATAATAATCAAACTCATCTCATGCCAATTCTCCCTGAAACCAGGAGAGCAGCTTCGAAGAAAACTGCCCAGCTGGCCGAGAATAAGACAGGAAGAACCAAGACATGGAAAGCGCCCTGTGTAGACCACATCACACCGTCACCAGCACCCCTGTCACCTCTCACGAGGCTGGCCTACATCCTAACCCAGCACTGGCCTTGGTTTGTCCTCTGGCAGCTCTGCAGTGACTGACGACAGCAAGTGCAGCCTGGTTTCTGTGACTGTTGGATTCCCTTGAAAGCCGTCCAGAAGGAAGCCCCCCACAGGCCGCTTGGCTGTCTCTCGTGCGGACCTCAACCTCTCTTCCATCACATCTCCACCTTCAATCACTCCAATGATCACACTTTTCTGAAGGACCTGAGAGAAGAAAGAATTGAACGCCTTTAACCATTACAAGAACCCAAGACCTGTTTGCGTGAATTTTTCATCGAAGTCCAACAGACAGAAGAAAGAGGTCTTTGAAAGTACTATAGATGTGCACTCTAAGAACCTTTAGGGCTCTAATGAACACACTGTAAAAAGAGGTTTTGCTAGCAGCCAGGCAACAGCTAAGAGTCCTGTGGGAGGGCTGCTCTACCACTGCCGCCACCATTGGACACTATAACCTATAAGACCCACTCCGCTGCCCAAACCCACCCAGCCCATCATCACCTGGACAACCACCCCTACCAAGATCAGCAGCCCCTAAAGGCACAAGCACCACCCATATCATTTGGAAGAAAAGCAGTCTCCCTGCAAACAGCCCTCTCCAGCAACATCAGCAGACCCTATTGGCACCTGTGCCACCCACACCAGATAGAACAGGCACAGGCAAAACCCACACCAGTTGGAAGAACAGACCCCATAGGCACAAGTAAAGCCCACACTAGCCAGAAGAACTGAAATACATGCTACAACTAGGCATCCAAACCCTCACAAACCTCAGCTGAGACAACCTACTCAACCGGACAACTAGCCAATTCCCGGAACCCATGGCCATTCAGTACAAAGACAATAAAGAACAAAAGACCATCTAATAAAGACATCACAAGAATCAACACCCATACCTATAATTATCCCAAACTCAGATGGGTAAACAGCAGTGTAAGAATACATCCAATAACATCAAGAGCAATACGGCACTATCAGAACCTAGTGGTTCAACAACAGCAGGATCTGAACATCCCAATGCAGATGAAGCAGAAAATGACCTTAAAAATAGCTTTATGAGATGATAGAGGCCCTTAAAAGGAAATGAAAAATTCTCTTAAAGAAGTGGGAGGAAAAGACAAAAAAAAAAAATTGGAAATCAGTAAATCCTTTAAGAAACCCCAAAACAAAAAAACAAAGAAACAAACAAGTGAAGGAAGCAGTTCAAGACTTGAAACTTGAAATAGAGGCAATCAAGAAAACACAAACTGAGGGAATTCTGGAAATGGAAAATCTGAGTAAGAGAACAGGACTTAGAGATGCAAACATAACCAACAGAATACAAGAAGTGGAAGAGAGGAACTCAGGGTTGAAGATACAATAGAGAAAATCTTAAATTCAACAAATTCTTAACATAAATCTGGGACACCATGAACAGAACAAACCTAAGAATAATAGGGACAGAAGAAAGAGACAAAGTCCAGCTCAAAGACACAGAAAATATATTCAACAAATCATAGAAGAAAACTTTCCCAACCTAAAGGACATGCCTATAAAGATACAAGAAGCTTACAGAATACCAAATAGACTGAACAACAACAAAAAAGTCCCCCTCGCCACAAAATAATCAAAGCACTAAACATGCAGAATAAAGAAAGAATACTAAGTGCTATAAAGGAAAAATGCCAAGTAACATATAAACACAGACCTATCAGAATTAGACCCAACTTCTCAATGGAGACCAAAAACCAGAAGGTCCTAGAGAGATGTTTTGCAGACACTAAGAGACCACAGATGCCAGACTACTACAGCCAACAAAACTTTCAATCACCATAGATGGAAAAAACAAGATTCTGCCAGACAAAAAATTAACAGAGAAGTAAGGGATCTAATGGATGTTATGACTCAAATGGACTTAACAGATATCTATAGACCACTTCGCCCAAACACAAAAGAATATATGGCACCTCATGGAACTGTCTCTAAAATTAACCACAGAAGCTGGGCAGTGGTGGTGCACGCCTTTAATCCCAGCACTCGGGAGACAGAGGCAGGCGGATCTCTGTGAGTTCGAGGCCAGCCTGGTCTACAAGAGCTAGTTCCAGGACAGGAACCAAAAACTACGGAGAAACCCTGTCTCGAAAAAAATCAAAAATAAATAAATAAATAAATAAATAAATAAATAAATAAAATAAATAAACCAGAGTCAGTCACAAAGCAAATCTCAACAAATACAAAATAATCTCCTGTATTTTATTGGATTACCAAGGCTTAAAGTTAGAATTCAATAGCAACATTAACTGCAGAAAGCCTACAAACTCATGTGGTGCAGGACAATTCTGTATTCTGTCAATTATGCTTTAAATAAATGCTGATTGGCCAGTAGCCAGGTAGAAAGTTTAGGTGGGACAACCAGACAGGAAGTAGAGGTGGGGCAATGAAAACAGGAGAATTCTGGGAAGGAGGAAGCCCTTTCTTCCCCAGTCCTGTCTAGACACTGAAGAAGCAGGATGTGACCTACCCCACTGCAAAAGGTACCGAGCCATTTGGCTAACATAGATAAAAATAATGGGTTAATATAAGTTATAAGAGGTAATAAGAAGCCTGAGCTAATGGGCCAATCAGTTTATAACTTATATAGACTTCTGTGTAATTTCTTTGGGGCTTACCGGCTGGACAGAAACCCAACAACTCACGGAAACTGAAAAACGCTCAATTGAATCACCACTGGGTCAAGGAAGAAATAAAGAAAGAAACCATAGACTTCCTAGAATTCAAAAATGAAGGCACAACATACCCAAACTTATGGGACACAATGAAAGCATTGTTAAGAAGGAAGCTCAAAACACTAAGTTCCGCATAAAGAAGCTGGAGAAATCTCATACTATTGGTTTAGCAGCCACCTGAAAGCTCTAGAACAAAAAGAAGCAGACTCACCCACGAGGAGCAGACAAGAGGAAACAAGCTGAGGGCAGAAATCGATAAAATAGAAACAAAGAACAATACAAATAATCAATGAAACAAAGTGTTGATTCTTTGAGAAAAATCACCAAGACAGACAAACCCTTGTGCAAACTAACCAAAAGGCAGAGAATATCCAAATTAAGAAGACAAAACAAAACAAAAAAATCAGAAATGAAAATGGGGACATAACAGACATTGTGGAAATCCAGAGACTCATTAGGTCATACTTCAAAACCCTGTACTCTACAAAATTGGACAATTTTCTGGATACCACATACCAAAATTAAATCAAGACCAGATAAACAATTTAAGTAGACCTATAACTCCTAAGGAAAAAAAAGTTATTAAAAAAGTCTCCTAATCAAAAAAAGCCTGACTAATTCAGTAGATGCTGGGCAGAATGCCACCACTTCCTTTTTCCGCTTCCATAGCAGATAAAGCTAAAAGACAACTCCCTTCCTGTAGCCCTGGGTTTTATTTATTTTAGTACACCCATCCTAGGGATTATCTGAGAAATAAAAAAAAATGGCCAAAACAGAACGTGGCAGAGCTTCAGTACTGAATGGTATAAAGAAGAAGATTCATAGCCAGGCAGTGGTGGCACACACGTTTAATCCCAAGCATTTGGGAAGCAGAGGCAGGCGAATCTCTGAGTTCAAAGTCAGACTGGTTTACAGAACATGTTCCAGGATAGTCAGGGCTACACAGAGAAACCTTATCTCAAAAGACAAAAAGAAACAAAAAATAATCAAGCAAACAACCACCACCAACAACAAAAGAAAGAGCATGATCCAGAAAGGAATCCCAAGAAAAGATGTTTGCATGCACAGAGCAGACGGTGGACAGGCCTGCCCCTTCACACCACTACCACAGTTTTGTGTAGGAATCTCCTGTTCATGGACACGAGCAGTTTGGCTGTGTACTTACTGTACTGTTTAAAATGGAACACTTAAGAAAGGAGGCACTATTAGCAATGTCAAGACATGAGCACTCAGGATACAGAAAGGTCAGAAAGGTGCCCAACACTTACTGGCCCTGACTTCTGCCTCACGTCCCACGTGCTGAGTGCTGGCAACAGGAATGAGCACCAAGTCGGCCTGATCAGTCCCTTTGCTTCCCTGCCTCCTTCGCCAGCTCACTAACCGTGCTCACAAATGCTGCAATTTACTGGTACAGCCTCATCTTTATCAGCTCGTCACAACACTTCACTACGGGCTCACGGTATGTCAGACGCTCTGTGATACGATACAGATACAAAACCAGCATGCAAAAGCAGAGTTTATGGAAACTATAGCTTAATAAAAGCAAATGCGTAAAGAAACTGGTGTGGTATGGTATGGTTGGGCTACAGCACAGCACACGCGTATTAAAGGGGTAACAAAGGATGATGGGAGGTTCCCGGAAGAGTCAGGGAAGTTCCATAAATTGGTGAGTGAATAAATGGACCTGGTGGAAGCCAGAGAGGGACTATGCCTGGAGATGAAAGGATAATCCCAGGGAAGATAGGTGGCCCAAAGTGAAACAGCGAATGCTTCAAGGAACTGAAGTCATTCCTAGAGAGCAGACGGCCAGTCACAGGGTACATAGTCATGAGCAGACGGCCATCACAGGGTACACAGTCATGAGCAGACGGCCATCACAGGGTACACAGTCATGAGCAGACGGTCATCACAGGGTACATAGTCATGATGAGCAGACGGCCATCACAGGGTACATAGTCATGATGAGCAGACGGCCATCACAGGGTACATAGTCATGATGAGCAGACGGTCATCACAGGGTACATAGTCATGAGCAGACGGCCATCACAGGGTACATAGTCCATGATGAGCAGGGCAGGTGACAGCAGACAGTGAGAAGTGAAGAAACACTGGATTCCTTAGCAAAGGAGGCAGTGGCTCATCCGTGCTTTACACAGGCATCTTCTGGAAAGCAAAGATGAAGACCAGACAGAAACGAGAGCAGAAGCAGCTAAAACAGCTCAGAGGTAACCACGAACCCAAGAGACGGGTACAACAGCAGGTGTGAGAAGGGACAGATCTGAGGCGTGTTTACAGAGACAGGAGGAAGGAGGTAGACAACCGGTCAGTAACGTGCATGATCAGTAAATCTAAAGTGTAAACTCCTAGGCCGAGGAACTTGGTGAATGCCATAGGCCAAGCTAAGTATTGAGGGTGACTAGGTCTGAGGAAACGAGACCAGGAGTCCAGCTGCCCAGACCTGAACATTCTAATGCAACTCAGCTACAGTCCAGGATGTATGGAGTTATAACTCTCACGGCGAGTAGAAGGAAACTGACAGTATATACATGTTCAAAACTGCTCACCAAATAATGAAAACCAAGGGAAGGCAGTTTGGGGACAATGTATGGCACAGTGAAAAGAACCCACCATGGAATCCTGGAGAAGGAACTTCCCAGGATCAGCAAAGAAAAACAGGAAAGAGACAAAAAAGTGAGCAGGGAAGCAGGCGGAGAACAGCTAAGGCGCAAAGATGCAGAAGGGAGGCGAGCGTTTCCAGAGCAGCTAGCGGGCGGCCTCACCTCAGACTCTTCCTGTAGTTGCAAACAGCTGTCCAGGAACTGAAGGGACCGGTCCACAGACTTCCTGGCCCTTTTTATGGAAGTTGCTTCTGCAAAAGATGCCTCGCCATCTGAGAGGCACTGGAACCAGTCCGGCTGCAGGGCCTCCTGAATGGCCATGAACTTGGAAACGGTCATTTCCACTCGACCTCCAAAACCCCACACAGACACAGACTGCGTGGAGCAAGAGATGAGGAATTACCAAGAGTAACATGAACATAAAAAGGAACCAGGAAAGCGGGACATGGCGATTCCTAACAGCTGCAGAGAGGAGACAACTCAGGACCCTGGACAGGTGAGTAAGAGATTCACCACACTTTTTCTAAGGACTTATGGCCCTGAGAACATCTTTCAGTGGTCAAGCAATCCAACTCCTGAACTATCCCCAGAGACTTCTTCACCACGCCTCTCTGGTGCAGTTCTCCCTATCTCCTCCCCCGACTCAAGCCCACGGAACTAGACTCTGAGGCCTTCCAAACTCCCACCACAGTCTATTTTAGCTTCCTAGCTTCCTCCTACCTCCCTGTCTGGCTAAGATATTCTGTATGCATCCTCGAGGGAACAGAGTTTTCATATTCCCTCCGCTAATGCATGCACTTTAGATGTCCTGGACACAATTCATGGTTCCCTCCTCTAAGCTCCTGCAGCAATTTATATCTACACGAATAAAACATATCATTTTAAACAAGTTCTAATTAAAAATCAGAAGCTCAATTGAAAACAGTATTCATGCCAAGTGGTAGTAGCAATACACTTTAACCTCCATACTTGGGAGGCAGAGGCAGACAGATCTCTGAAGCATTAATTTAATTAATCTTATCAATAAAAACCAGGAGTCAGAAATTGGGATTAAAAACCTGAAAGATCAAAGAGGCAGATGAACAGCCACCAGCTACTTCCTACCTCTTGTTTCTCATCCAAAAGGGTTGAGATCGTGTCTCTCTCTCCAGTCCTCCAAACCTCTACGGTCGGCTGGAGGCTGGCTCCACCCTCTCTGACTCTAAGCAAACTTTATGTGTCAGAATACAATCAAAATATCACAATAGATCTCTGTGAGTTCAAGGCCAGTCTGCTCTACATACAGCCTAAGATAGAGAGAAACCCTGTCTCGAAAGGAAAAAACAAACCACACCACACCAAACCAAAAGCCAGCCTTGAAAATGAAAATACATCAGGAGGAAGTGACTGTGGTTGCCAGGCAGTGGTGAGCACTGAGCCTGGCCCAATGTTGTATGAAGGCGTGGGGCAAACAGAGCTTCAGATACCATTCTCCACTCGCTACAACCTCTGACTAGAGATCCAGCCTTTCAATCCTGATCTACCAGCAGCAGTACTGACCGAGGCTCCATGCTACAGGGTACACCTTCATAACTCACCGGCAACTCTCCTGCTCTTCCCGGAGTGAAAGAATCACACGCACAACGTCACATCCAAAGACTGCATTACTCTCCTCTCAGCAATTTCCCATTTGGCAGGTACTTGACCTTCTTCTACTCTCTAAGCCAGTGGTTCTCAACCTTCCTAATGCTGTAACCCTTTCATACAGTTCCTCATGTTAATGGTATCCCCCAACCATAAAATTATTTTTGTTGCTACTTCGTAAGTGTCATTTTGCTACTGTTACGAATCGTAATGCAGATATCTGATATGCGACCCCTGTGGAAGGGTTGTTTGAGGCCCACAGGCTGAGGACCACTGCTCTCAGTGTTCCCAACACAGAAATGCTGAGGATCTGTTGCCCAACTTAACTCATCTTCAAGCAGCCCTCCTCAGTCTTTCTAAACCCTCACACTCTGTTAAATCCTGACCACATACAGAGGGCATGAAGGAATCGTGGAGCATTTGAGGTCCCGGGGACCAGGCTGAGAACGTACCTTATTTGTTACATAACCAGATGGGCCGGGGCTGACTGGATCGTGCAGGGAGCAGTAGAAGAGAGATTCTGGCATGCCTGTGTAGACACAAAAAGACCCATTCAGAGTGCTGTGGGAAAAAGCTTTCTGGCATGCCAGCACATGCTGGTAGATGAAGCAACTCTAATCTCATCGAACAGCTGGAACCTCATCTTGGATTTATAGAAGGCCTGGGAAAGGAAGAAAATTATTTGAGACCTTCCAACCCAAAAGAATTAAATGTAAAGATCCACACGATACAAACATGACACAAACCTAGAAATACACAAGAGAAAATTCAATTGAGAAATGGCATCCATGACACTGGAATGTGGACAAGCCTATAAGGCATTCCCTGATCACTGACTGATGTTGGAGGACCCAGCTCACTGTGGTAGTGCCATCACAGGCTAAACGAGCCATGCCGATCAAGCAAGCAAGCAGTGCTTGTCTGGGACCTCTGCTTCAGTAAAATATAAAATGGAGATGGGTTAATTCTAGATGTAAGAGTTAGCTAGCAATATGCTTAAGTAATTAGCCAAGCAGTAATCAATTAATATAGTTTCTGTGTGGTTATTTTGGGAGTCTGGGTGGCTGGGAACACACAAATGGCCTCATACAACAGCCACCTGTAACTCAGGCTCCAGGGGATCTAACATGGTCTTCTGACTTCTAAGGCCAGTAAGCTTGCACGTGGTGCACACACACACATGCAGACAAAACATCCAGACACATAAAATACTTTTAAAAAAATGATTAGTAAACCATGGATACTTAAATTCATATGGTACTCCACATTTCCCATAGGATTTCACTTAAAAAAGGAGAAAGAAACAAATTTAAAAAGTTAACAGCCCCGGCGGTGTCCCACCTCATTTGCTAAGCTTCAGTCATTACGATGATCTCTGGCAAGTGCACGCGAGCCATGGGCAGTAGACTCTGAAGCTTGCTGTTTTTGCTCTTTACTCCTGGCTCTTTTGGGGCGGGCCCATCACCCAGCTCCCACATAATCACACAGAATCTTATTCTTACTTACAAATGCCCAGCCTTTGTTTGGCTTGTTTCTAACAAGCTTCTCTTATATCTTAAATTATCCCATCTATCTTTTGCCTCTGGGCTTTTATCTTTCTCTATTTCTGTACACCTTACTTTCACCCATACTCCATGGCTGGCTGGGTGGCTGGCTACCTACATTTTTCTCTCCTTATTCTCTTGCTGCTCCTTCTTCCAGATTGTTCCTCCTATTTGTTCTCTGCCTGCCAGCCCCGCCTCACTGTTGGCCATTCAGCTCTTTATTAGACCATCAGGTGTTTTAGACAGGCAAAGAATCACAGCTTCACAGAGTTAAACAAAAGCTGGTGATTGCAACTGTTCTCAGCTTATGGAGACTGAGATTTCAGAACCCCCTCTTCTGAGCGATCAAGGCACCATGAAGCTTCCTTCTAAAGAGAAGATGGATGACCAAGGATACAGGAGCCATTTACTTAACAAAGCCTAGATGTTGGGGGAACTAAGGAGAAAGTGGTCCACAGAAGACCCGGTTCCACAGCTGCTACAACTAAGGTTTTCCTCAAACTAAATAAATGGGCACACACATCTGCACATAAAGTTCTACTTCCGGAACAAAAGATACTAACCCATCAGAACACATGAATGAGGCTCATGCAGGAGCTCTGGAGTGTATGTATCCTATGGTCTGTGCTCTGGAGTGTATGTATCCTATGGTCTGTGCTCTAGTGAGCTCTGGAGTGTATGTATCCTATGGTCTGTGCTCTAGTGTGCTCTGGAGTGTATGTATCCTATGGTCTGTGCTCTAGTGTGCTCTGGAGTGTATGTATCCTATGGTCTGTGCTCTAGTGTGCTCTGGAGTCTATGTATCCTATGCTCTGTGCTCTAGTCTTTGGAGCATTGGCCCCACCCATTTACCGTAACCACTGGCTAACACCTAATCCAACCAGACACCTCCTTATCTTCTTCAAGAATTCTTTATTCTGACCCCTTTCTTATGTACCCAGAGCAGGTTATATGCCCCCTGTGATCTGTTATAATATATGTATATAACCCTGACTCTACAAAGCATTAAGAATCATGTGTTTTCCACTGAACCTTCAATCCCCAATGCTTCGCCAAAGACAATTATTTAAAAAGAAGAACATGTATGAGTCACAGTTAAGTCAGCAGGACCAACAAACTCCAAACTGACACATCACAAATCACATATACACGTGATTTAAATAGTCGTTACCTATAAAGCTTCCGACTCCTTTTTTATATTCTGCCAAGACCTCATGATGTTCTGCTCTGTAAGAAAAACAGAAAAATGCACAGCATAGCAATGGAAATGGATCACTCTTTAGCTACTCTGTACAGCACCAAAAACTCTCTCTTCTCCTCACCCAAATAAACTACACGACAGTGAATGCCACCCTCAACAACAAAACACATCGCTTTTCAAGATGTGCAACCAGCAGGGCTGGGTTAGTTAGTTAAAATGAAGGTATACAATTTGCCAGGGGTACAAAAGAAACATAGACAAAACAACTGCTTCAGAACATCTGGATTTCCTTCCATTTTCTTGTCCTTTTAAAATCACTATTAACACAATAACTCAGTCACTTGTCATACAACAGTTTCAATTAAACAGTTTTTCTGATTTCATCTTTAAAATCTATAAACTATGCATGTGAGAAAAAAGAAGAAAGAAAAGAAACCTTCCTCTCTGCTGCATCTAAGGGCTGGATACCTGAATGATTAGGTTCAGCACTCACAAGGTTGACAGTGTGAGCTGGACCATGGCTGGGACCCCATGGATATTATGCAGTGTGTGATGTGTCAGGTGTGGGGCAGAGCCAGTCCTGGTATAGAGAAGACAGCCTGGAATGTCCACTGTGCAGTCCCCTGCTTTGCCCAGGTTTTGTATTTTTCCTAGACGGCAGCCATTAACGACTTTGACGAGACTCAGCTTCATCTTTAGGGATTCTTCCAGGTTCTGAGAAGAAATCAGCATTAAATTTAGAAGGCAATTCTTGGCATCGAAAGGCTAAGTACTTTGCAAAGAAAGCAATATGCACATAAATGAATGGCTGCGTGTCTGTTACCTCCAGCTCACATCTTTCTGTCTGATCAGGATCAGGACAAGGTGTAAAAAAGGACCAGGATTCTTTCTCCAAAGTCCCATAACAAAATGGTAACAGTAAGTTTGACACGCATTAACATTTCATTTGTATTTTAATAAACAGAGCTTGCCTGAAGATCGGAGAGACAAACAGCCCCACTGGTCAGCCTTACAGACCAGGCAGTGAAAGTACACACCTTTAATCCCAGGAGCCACACTAGCAGCCACAGTGCATGGGCGGGCGGTGCACGCCTTTAATCCCAGTACAAAACGGAGGAGGCAGCTCTCAGCCTCAGTCTCATTCTGAGACTCCTGGAGGCAGGACCGCCATTTCAGACTGAGGCAGAGTAAGAGCCAGTGACTGGCTGCTTTTTTTCTGGTCTTCAGGTTGAACTCCAATATCTATCTGAGTTTTTATTAATCATGCTTCATTTTATTAACTGTCTATGAGTGTGTGTGTGTGCGTGCTTGCACATGTGCACGTGCTTTTGTAGAAGCTGATGAAACAAAGCAAATGAAAGGCCTGAAATAGAAATTAGCCTGGCGGTGGTGATGCATTCCTTTAATCCAGACACTCGGGAGGCAGAGGCAGGAGGATCTCTGTGAGTTCGAGGCCAGCCTGGTCTACAGAACTAGTTCATGGCAGGCTCCAGAGCCACACAGAAACCCTGTCTTGAAAAACCAAAACCAAACAAACAGACAAAAGAAAAGAAAAAGAAAGGTTAATTGTCAAAGAAAGGCACGTGAGGTCACTCTGCCTTGAAAACATGCAAGGGAGGACCATACTCTTTAGAGCACATGTTACTTACTAATTTGAACCACATTTCTTTCTCCAACTTGAGAAAATATTAAGCAATATTTTTCCCTTCTATTAGTGTTGTTCAATAAAAAAGATTCCAAAACAGTATAATGAATATACATCATAGACTGACCAGCATAAAGTAACAGATTATCTGCAAAGTGGGATTGTATTCCAGTTCGTTCATATCAAGATGAGAAACCATGTGAGCATGTAAGTGATCTATGAGTGATTTCATAATGGGAAAGGTAAAACTTTTTAAGAAAAAAATACAGATACTCTTTCTAACTTCTATAGATACACCAAGAGGATTTGAAAAAAACAACAGAAAACATTATTTATAGCATGTTGTTAAATAATTAGTACTCAGTGTGAAAAGTTATGAGCTTTTAAGATGCACAGGAGGGCTAGGGAGATGGATGGCTCAGTGGGTAAAGGTGCTTTCTGCCAAGTTTGCCAACCTAGGTTTAATCTCCCTTGTAAAGGGGGAAGAACAGAACTTACTCTACAGAGTTGACCTTTGACCTCCACATATGTGTCACAGCACCTACACACAGACAAGCACACACTTTTTAAAATTTAAATGTCACTGGACATATCAACATTTTATAAACACTACATTTCATCACTACTTGTCATTTGGAGCAGGCCAAGATTGTGTGCATTTGACTGTATGAGGCCAGCAAGGAACCCCAACTCCCCAGGATCCACCTGTTCAGCACCCCAGTGGGGAGCTACATACAGGTGCATAATGGCCATGTCAGGCATTTCCATGGGTGCTGGAGACCCAAACCCAGGTCCTCATGCTTGCAGAGCAAACACACACTGATTCATCTTCTCAGCCCTATATGGCATTGAGATGCAGTTTAAAACACCAGCCCTCTGAAGACAGCCACCAGTTCTTAGACGCAGAGATTGACTTTTGTGTGATACAGTTCTTTAGCTGGGATGGTTAAACTTACAAGAAAATAGAATATGATTTCAAAAAGGTAACTGCATATTGTCAGTGAGTCTGCTTTGTGATGATGGATGGAATATGGAGAAATCTAAGGACAAACCAGTTGTGGTGGTGAAAGCCCAGTCCCAGATGCAAGCTGAGGCAGGGGATAGTGACTCCATGGCTCTGTGGGTTCCACGGTGAGAGCCCGTCTCCAGAAATAAAAAGGAGCAGAGCACTGGTGGCACAAGTCTTTAATCCTAGCGCTCGGGAGGCAGAGGCAGGCGGATCGCTGTGAGTTCGAGGCCAGCCTGGTCTACAAGAGCTAGTTCCAGGACAGGCTCCAAAAACTAGAGAGAAACCCTGTCTTGAAAAACAACAACAACAAAAGAAACAAAATAGAAAAAGAAACAAAAATGAAAAAAAGACAGCACTATTTTATCACATTTATTCGCGCGTGCGTGTGTGTATACATGCAAGTACATGAACACATGCAAATGTATACTACAGCTCAGTGTGGACATTAGTGCATAGCCTGAAGAACTCAGTTCCTCCTTCTACCACGCAGGGTCTCAAAAATCAAACTCAGGTCATAGGTACGCTTTGGCAAGCACCTTTACGCACTGAACCATATTACTGGCCCTAGAAAATGCACCTTAGCCAGAAATCAACATTTAAAACACAAACAGATTTATTTTCAGAGCTAGAAGAAGCAATACTTCCTATCTTCATTCACTGTCCAATATTAGATATGTTTTCCTAATTGTAACATTTTTATATACAAGTCTTTATTATGAATTAATGCATATAATATAGACATAAATATACACTGACGTATATGGGTTTTGATTTTTGACCTCTTTTTGTTTGTCTTAAATAATGTACCAATGACCGGGCTATGGCAGCTGCTGAGAAGAAACAGCTCCCATGCATAAATCACAGGATTTCTCTGGCCCGTTGTATCCACAAGAAAGCTGTACCTACACAACAGCCTCCAGCAACTACAAGGCATAGTTTTTAAAACACAATTTGGGAGTGACATAAACCAGTAACACAAACAAAGTTGACGATGCAGACTAATGTCTCCACAACACCAAGCGGTTCTACTGGCTTTATCACCGTCCCCTCCCTTTGCACTCACTGTGAATCTCTTCTGTTGCCGGTTTTGTCTTTTTCCTCTCACTCCCACAGATAAAGTTTCTGGAGGTCTTTCGGAGGAACCCTGAGCCTGTAGGGAAACTGACAACACCCTGCCCTAGCAACTGCTAGTTAGTGCCATTCTCCTGCATCTGTCAGGAGAGAAAGAATTTTTAAATGCCTCTTGAATAGATTGTCTTTATGGAAAGATGTCCCAAATTTGGTAACTGAATGCAGCAAGCTCAGATAGATGATCAGACTTCGGGGAGGGGGCATATTTCCTTCATCATCTCCATACAGCGTCAACATTTACACATGTGCAGAAACCAACTATGAAGGACCTCCATCTTCTCCATACAGCGTCAACAGTTATACATGTACAGAAACAAACTATGAAGGACCTCCATCTTCTCCATACAGCGTCAACAGTTACACATGTACAGAAACAAACTGTGAAGGACCTCCATCTTCCATACAGCGTCAACAGTTATACAAGCACAGAAACCAACTATGAAGGACTTCTGAACAACATGACGCACTGCACTGACTCACAGATGATGGATGCTATAATATTCTAAATACTTCAAATTTTTACACTATTTGGTAGGGGGAGAAATATACTGACAATTCTAAACTTTATTAGGTACACGTGTTAAGTCTGGAAATAGTCATCAAGGAAATGAATGACAGAATATACAATATCCAAACATGTTTGAAAGGAATCCAGAAGTTTAAAGAAAATTTCAATTATCCCATGAAGGTTAAAAAAAAGCATATCAAAAATAGAAAATGCGGGGCTGGGGCATCGGTTCAGTGGTTCGGAGCACTTGTTATCTGTGCAGAGGACCCAATGCCACTTATAAGCCTGTAACTGCAGTTCCAGCTGGGTTTCTTTTTCTCATTTGAGGGTGCCATGCATGCTTGTGATGCACATACATGTGTGCAGGCAAAAAGAGTCACACACAGAAAATAAAAGTAACTCTAAAAAAGAAAAGAAAAAATATCCAGCAGAAAGTGGTGGCACACGTCTTTAATCCCAGCACCTGAGAAACAGAGAGGCTGTCAAATCTCTGCGAGTTTCAGGCCAGACAGGGATACATAATGAGACGCTGTCTGGGGGGAGGGGAGGGCAAATGGTAAGTCTGAATGTTATTGATCACAACAAAGCTAGACTAATCTCATCCATCAAAAGGCCTAACATCAGCAGTAGCTACATTTATTAGGTATTTACTGTTGTGCTTTATACATTAACTCCATTAACCCTCATACCATATCCAACAGAGCCTATTCTCTCCGGCCTCCTATAAATTAGTTAAGTGACGTTAACAAAGTCACTGTCACGGTTTGAATAAGAATGGCCCCTATAGGCTCACACATTTGAATGCTTCGTCACCAGGGAGTAGCCCTATCTGCAAGGATTAGGAATGAGGTGGGGTGTGGCTGGAGGGAGTACGTCACTGGGGGTGTGCTCTGAGGTTCCAAAGCCCTCAGCTACTGCTGCAGTGTGCCTGCTATGATGTAAATGGTTTAAAACTCTCAAACTGTAGGCTTTCTTTTGTAAAAGCTTCTTTGGTTATGGTGTCTCTTCACAACAATAGAACACCGACGAAGGTAGTTACCAGAGCTGGTCCTGAAACTACAGAAGTCTCCTTATAGAGACCATAACATAGGCTTAGGAGAAACTCAATTTGTCAAGCAGCACATGAAACGTTTCCATCTTAACTGTGATATTACCCATTTTGCTACAGTGTTATTGCTTTTTCCTATCTCCCTCCTTCACCTCTAATCCATTATCCCAGTCTCTATAGCAATGGTTCTCAACCTGTGGGTTGTGACCCCTGGGGGGGGGAGGGGCAAATGACTCACAGGGATTGCCTAAGACCATCAGAAAACACAGATATTTACATTATGTTTCATTGAAGTAACAAAATTAGTTAAGAAGTAGCAACAAAAAAAATTGATAATTGGGGGTCATCACAACGTGGGGAACTGTGTAAAGGGTCTCAGCATTAGGATGGTTGAGAACCACACTGCCCTATAGCCTTTCTAAATGGACACATACTATATTATGGTCACCTCTCTGAACTCGGCATTTCTTTCAGGAAAAGATGGGCAGCTCTCCCAAAGAACAGCCATGAAACTAACTCTTCCAAATGACCCGCTGTTGTGACAGAGTAAGGTCTCCATGTCACACACCTGTTCAGCCACCTTCTTTCCTCTGTTAGAGGACAGAAGCTAGGATATAGGGGCACGGCCTTCCTTAGCATATTCCCAAGTTAAAGTTTGGTTTACATTTCCTGGTACAATGTCTGCACACACTGATTTTTCAATCATTACCATACTCCCAGGGTGTAGGTTCTATAGGACCCAGCCTAGACAAGCTCTATATAGAGGTCTGAGTCTCAGTAGCTTACCCCAAGGCAATACCTGAGACAACAAACTGAGTCTACCCAGGCACCACCCTGGAAGAGAACATCCAAAGGGAATTCCTAATGTTCCAACATCTGTTGGAACACACCCATTGCTTTTCACCAAGACACTGCTAGACAAATGTCAGAATATCAGGGGTCTAAACGTTAGAAATCCCTCACCCCCTACCACTATAAAAACCCAACTCTAACTGAGCTTGGGGCTCTCCGATCCCTCCAATACGTTGGACACACGGAGAGACCGAGTTTGCAAACTTGTGTAAGAATAAAAGCTCTTTGTTTTTACATACAGGACTCAGTATCCTGGTTGGTTTTGGGGGGGGGGGTTCCATTTTTGTTAGCAGTAAACTCAATGGCCAACAAGTAGCTGGGTCCAAATCTCCAGTTCTAAATTTCTGACCCGCCTGGAAAGTACATACACCTTCAGTGAACTGTTCCTCACAACATCCAGGCTTGGCTATTGAGGTTCAGTTTTCTCTTAGTTCCGTTAGCCATCATTGGAGCTTTAGACCTTACTGTTTTTATGCCTTCTCAAGTACCTGGTAAATTCAGAAAAACTTCCGGCTGAGCAGCTCACCCTCGGACAGGGACCGGGAGAAAAGAGGCCCCTTTCTCTCTAAGATGTGTATGTCCGGCAATCTCACTGAGGAGACTCGGAGCGGGCGGAAGCCTAGACCAACAGGAAATCAGGAAATAACAAGGTGGGAGTAAGACGGAAATGCAAGCAAGAAAATGAGTGCGACTCACCCGCTCTCATTAAGGAAAAGAGACACTCACCCGTGGATTACAACACTCCGTACCGCCAGGACCCTTAAACTCCTTGCCGGAGATAACACGTGTTCCGCTCGCTGTGATAACACGTGTTCCGCTCGCACAGCTCGCGGTCCACTGAACCACCGCCTCTGATGCAGAACCAATCAGAATGTTCTGTGTCATCACCAAGCGCCACACATAGGCAAAGGCCCTGCTAAAGCAAACCCAGCGAGACCCACCGATGCCATGGTAACTGGGGCAATGAGAGCTGCGCGCGCAATGCCTCCTGGGAGGAGTAGTTCCAGAATGTCCGACCCTTGTCTAACTGGTAGGTGGTGGAACTACAACTCCCAGCGCCACCCAAATGCAGCCTGTGACGAGGAGCAGTTGTCATTGTTGTGGCCTAAGTCTAGGCCTGAACTTGAAAATATACTGCTGGCGTCCCAAGAAAGGTCTTCAAAGAAGAAAATGGAGCTGAGTCGCTGGAAACGGCTTTCAAGGAAGCTGAATGCCAAGGTGATCCCAATCGGAAGCTTTGAGAAACACGGGTCGGCCCTAGGCGTCACACTGTCCTGAAAGCCTGCCGCTTCCCTCCCAGCGGTTTCTCACTCTTATCCTTACCTGGCCTTGCCTGACCTGGAGCCTGCACAGCTTTGAGAGTGTGGTTTTAGGAGCCTTAGGGTCTGTGTACTCTGGTGGGCAAAAACCTGTAAGGATTGTTCCCATCTAAGCGGAGAGGTCTACTAGTGCCCATTAGGGTAAGGGAAATTTGCCCCTCATCCTTACCTCCACTAGCAGTTTTAGGAAATTTTCTGCACATTTCTTCCCCTCCCTTTCAAATCTTAGGTAAGGGAATTTTGAAAGGAAGAAAACAAGTCACATTAAGTTCACTGCTGTTATCCCTTATACCCCCCCCCTTCCAGTTTTACATCAGACATCTAAAATGAACCCAGAATTCCAAGTGGTTTTATCTCAGTTCTTTATCCATATGGTTATTTCTAAATTCCACCAGCGTTCAGCGATAGATCCTTCCTTTATCTGTTACCTCTTCTGTACACTAGTTCCTAAAGACACACACACTCAAAATCTGACAAAAGCGGTTTTAAACTTGGAACAGACAAAAGTGACGTGCAAAGTCACAGCCATACCAAGTGCGCTTTCCAGAATACCTTTTTAACAGTCACAAAAATAAGTGCTTTAGGTGTAAATGAGAGCATTGAGACGGAGAGGCGTCAGCTTCCAGCTGCAGAGCAGCTTCACCAGCTGTTTTTACCCCTCAGTTACCGTTTCCTGTAAAAAGAAAGACAACCCTCGAGATGTGTGGCTTTTGTGGGGGCCCGGGGCAGCCATTCTTGTGGGCTCTTCTAAATATAGAAACAGTGTACACAGGGTACCTTCCACTTAGTGAAAATCGTGTTCCTGATGCTAAAGGGCAGAGGCCAGAGCATTCGAGAGTGAGAACTGAGGCCGCTTCACCTGCAAAGTAGCAGTTGCGTGATAGTGGCCCAAAATAGCTTCTGAATATAGATTTGATGATGAAAGGTAAAAAATTGGGGACAACTTAGAACTACAAAAAGAGGGATTTTTTTCTTCTTTTTTTTTTTGCTGATAGTGCTCATTATTACTGTCTAGAGGATAAAGGAAGTAAAAACACAAGAGCGCCTTGAAATTCAGCTGTGTTTGAATAGGATCGGTTCGCTCTTTGTTGCAGTGGCAGTTACGCAGCAGAATAGCTGCATTATTGTGTGTAAGGTGAGCTGAAGGCGGAGTGTTAGGGAAATGAAAGCGACCATCATGCCTTTCCTACCAACTTCCACGTGCCAGTTACTTTGCTCTCCCATCATTTTTATTTTCAAATACCTGATTTTTTTTTCAAAGCAAATAACTCTGTTTGCTCAATGATTATTAGAGAGAGAGAGTTCTGTAAGCTTCTGGGAGTCACAGAGGATACAGAGGAGGATCCATGAGGCCTGATTTTTTGTTTCAAATTAATATTTCATCTGGGTAGAGATCATTTTCTTCATTATATGCTTGGTGCAAGTGTACAAGTTGAGTGATATAATCCTGTTTTACACCCCCACTCCTTTTAGACCAAATGTCATCTCAGTTGTAGGAAGTACAGGAAGGCATCTGGATACTTGTGCAAAGAGGAAAGAAATTACCACAGTCTTTAAGCAGAAAATGACTCAGGTGAATTAACCAGTGTTAGTATGGGTTTCACGAGGAGTGGTACATGTAGCATTTCTGCATCTTGACTCTTAGCATTGGAGAACTCAAAAATACAATGCTGATGCCTAGACTGTTGATCAGTTACGGTTCAAGGTGGGTTACACAAGAGTAACACAGATGTCCTGGACAAGACTTCCTGTTTCTCCTGCGTGGTTCAGTGTGCTCTCATTGCTAGTTGGTGCTGAACTTGCCAATGGAAAGTTTGGAGGAAGGGATGAAGGATATGTTTCCTCGTGTGTTAGTGGGAAGGATGTTGACAAAGCGGTTGCTGCGCATTAATACTTTGTTTCTATTCTCTGCAGTCTGCATTTGACACCGACAGTGTGGAACACTGGGTTAAGGTAAGGCTTTTCACAATCAGAACAGAGAGATGCGAGAGTCGGACATAAGGACAGATCTCCAGTGTTCATGTGCGTGCCTGTTGTTATCCCACATGATTGTGTATGTTACCCCAATTCTATATTTTTAACATCTTTTATTATTCCGTTGGTTTTCATGAGAGAGCTTAAGTAGAAATGACGAGAAAACACATAGTCTTACCTTTCATCTGGCATGCCCATCTCATAAAGAGGCCAAAGGAGTAAGAAAAGAGAGGCCTTGGGAGAGAATGCTGTAGCCTTCTTCAGACACGAGGAAGACTATTCTGTAGTTACTTTAATATGGGGACCCATTGGCAAGAGCAACATGGCTATCACCAGAATTCTCTAAAGTCTAGAACAATCCAAAAGTGGAGTGAGAGTTTTTATAAAGAGACATGTTCTCCATCGCTAGAGTATTGGAGTACAGTGCTATGTTGTTTGTATTTTAGTAAAATACATCTTGCCTGAAGACCATAGGCAAAGCTAAAGCCACTAGAGGCCAGGCGATGGTGGTGCACACCTTTAATCCCAGCACTCAGGAGGCAGAGGCAGGTGGATCTCTGTGATTCTGAGGCCAGTCTGGTCTACAGAGCAAGTTCTAGGACAGACTCCAAACCTACACAGAGAAACCCTGTCTTGCAAAAACAAAAACAAAAAAACCATAGGGAATATAAAATGAGAGGAGAGAGAGGTTTAGTCTGCTTAGTCTGCAGTTGCCCAGCCTTGTTAGAGGTAAGATTTCTCTGGTGGCTTGGCTGCTTTGCTTTTCTGGTTTTCGGGTTGAACCCCAATATCTCACTCTGGCTTGTTATTATTCGTGCTACATTGGAGTAAACTCTAAAATTTCACTTAATGTTCAGCTAATAAAGAATATGTTTGGGCATCCATTGAGAGGGAGTTGGTTTAGATAACTCCCATAGAAACTGAAACTGTTATTATACATGACTTCCTGACCGATGACATCCTCCAGTCATGAGATGTTTGTTTTTAATTTAGGTGCTATTTGAATTAACAGTGCCTTTAAAACACTTCAGGGGTACACCCCTCAGTGCCAGCCTAGCAGTTCGCTGTAATCAGTTTATTTGTGTAGCACATGGTTCAAAATCATGTAATATTTTCCAGAGAATATTCTGTCTTAGTTGACAGGCATTGTGGGCATCAGGCAAGATAGATCCCAGGCTACCTGTACTTTGCTTTTAGCTATTTATTCATTTTGTTACTATTTGTTAAGTGCCTACCAAATACAAGCTCAGTGTATTGTGTACTAGTGCTAAAATGAGACACAGACCAGAGTCTATAGCCCAGCGGTGCCTGAAAAACCTACTTAGAGCTGGTAAGAGACCTAAAGATATAAGGGAAGCATATGGTGGGAGGCATTAATGTCGATGGGGCTAGGGGACTTCCTGACCACTGCAGAAGCTCTGTCTCAAAAGACAGCCAAAGTAGATTGCATCATGAGTGCCAGCCTCTGGAAGACCACTTAACCTCTAGTAAACCTAGCTTGCCTCTCAGTGTCCAGGGTCCTAGTACTGAGTTCCTGCAGGGCTCAATCACACGCCTACTTACCACTTCTTTCAGAGGGGGAGATTTAATGAGAACTCAAGGATAAAATTCCATTTTGTCTTGTTTCAATGATTGTTCTCCTTCATATAGCTGTCAGCAATCTGGACTCGGATTTTTATCATTTCCCTAAATCGTCTGCACTGGCTTTTCCTCCATCCTGCCTTCAAATCTCCCATCTTGAAAAATCAATAAGTTCTTATTTGACCCTGCAGTCTTTTCTGATTGTAGAATGATTTTATTTTCTTATCCAGATATATAATGTGAGCTCTGGGCTTTTATATTTTCGTTATTCTCTCCTGTCATAATTATTATTGCTTAGTCTCGCTTCTTATTCAGTCAGCAGTAACACACACACTCCATTTATTTCACTTTCCATTCCACAAACTGCTACCAGAAATGACTTCCTGACCAAATCCAGTCACCGTGGGCAGCTGTCAAATGTCTCTAGTCTAATTTGATAGAGCTGTGGCATCTGTTTTAGACACCCTCTAGTCCACTCTCTTTGTTCATTGGACTGTTTTCTCTGGATTCTCCTTTTACCTCTCTGTTTTACCTTTCTGATTTTACTCCATAATATATCACATCTCTGGATATACCCTGGATAGTCGCAGTCTTTCCTCCTAAACCCCCCAAATCCACTTGAGTGGCCCACCCTTTTCAACACAGCTGAGAATTCGTTCAGGGGAAAGATGAAGATAGAGAAAGGCCTCTCTTTAGAACAGCAAAGGAAGGTTTCCCAGTTGTCTCATGGATTTAGCTGAAGCAAGTAACCATAATTTTTTTTATGATACAAAGAAAATTGGTAGATTAAATGGATCCAAGCTTGAGAATCACCACTGCGAAAGTGAAGGGACGGGGGTTTGGGAATAAGACAGTAGCTTAATGTTCACATGAGTAGGAAGGAAAAGACGGTACTCCTTGAAGCCCCTGTGTATGAAGGAGA